GATTTGAGAAAGTCAAGAATCGATCGGCCATCCAAGGACGCCGTAGATTGAGCATGCATTGGTAGCAAATCTCTCATAACCAAAGTTGTGAGATGTTGAATATCCTGGGTAGTGTTACGGATAGCCGTCGACGGACGAGGAATTACACCTTCAACGCAAGGTGTTCTAGTAAACCCAACGTCTTTGGCATGGTTATGCGCAAAGTTCGCTTTCGTCAGCTTCCAAACGCCATTTTTGCCGTAGACGTTGATGAAAAATGGGCACTCTAAATTGTCCAATGGCGTCTTGCGGTCAAAAAACTGGACACCATTGAGTTTCTTGCACTGATACTTTGCGTTCCCGGAGTTGTTGCTCTTGACACTGGTTTGCTTTACAAATAATTGGAATCCAGACTTAATCGCGAATTCTTTACACAGATTTCGAGCGTTCTTTTGAGATGAAAATTCATCCACAGAAATATTTCCGTTTTGGTTGTACACTAAACCGTAGTCCCTCTTTGAAGAATCGTCGACCTGGACGGTAATGTCGCGTCTAAGAAGTCGTAAGTCTCGAGCAAGCTCAATGTCAGAGCAGTCAACAACGAAACGTGCATTGCCAAATTTCAACTCAACATCAGAACGCTCCCCAGGGTTTGAGGTCGATGCGTCCGTAGTAGTAGGGAGCTGCGAGACCGATCCAGAGTCGAGATCTTGAGCAGGCGTTGCCATTTTGATAATGAATGGGTTGCTAGAATCACGCAGAATTTAATTATAAGTATAACTTGCTATATTTGGAAGCCAAGAGTTGTTTGTATCGCTAGATGCAAAGTACTGTGACCCTATGAAACTGAGTCTTTCTCGAGCCTATAATGTAAACTGTGTGTTTATTTAGCTAATGTATTTTATTGTGATTTAACGTTTAATACTTACGCGTGTACATGTACTTTGAAGAAGTAGACAATACATGTTTGCTCACGCAATACTCCTAATTTGAATTTTAAATTTAAAGTGCAAATTTCTGAAATCTCATTTTGTTATTCTCGAGATAAGGTTGCAAAGACGTATCATAAGAAATAACTCCAACACGGTTTTAATAAGACTTCGGGGGTGTTCATAAGAAATAACTCCAGAAAGGTATTAATAAGACTACCAGGTGCTTGCCAAGTACAGCTTGGGCGCCACGTTCGTCGTCTGAAGGAATCTTGTAAGCATAAGATACGGGTGGTGGTGCAGTGCGTACTTAATAAGTACTGTTTTTTAATTACTGCGAACCCAGGGCAGTTGTACTGGATTTGACACTGTTGGGATAAATTTGTTTTGGAAATCGTCAAAATCCAGTACCTTAGTACTGGATTATGGAAATTCCTCCAATTTGATTAAATGTGTAACATTCATATGGTATATTAAGAAGCTGACAGTCGCTCCATGATTCACGTCCGATGGACCTAATATTATAATAATCTCGATATATTCACCGAATCTCATGTCGCCTAATTGTTGCAGCTGGATATCCCGTTCGAACGACCGAGTTACAGTATGCCACAGCAGTTGTATCATACAAGTATTGTGAAACTGGAGCGCGCTCGAGTTGGGAATACAACGCACACTTAATAACCTAGTGATTTGGTTATTGTATCTTTTGCTTGACTATGAGACCCGCCAACAAGAAACTATGGCGACGTGGCTCTCGAAGCAACAGAAGTCACTACATATACAGAACCCTACTTGATAAGATTAGAATAACAGATTGTATTCTACGACATTGTACACGATATGTCCTGATCCAGAGAGATATTCATTAAAACAACGTCCAACAGTGATACTGTATTGGTAAACTTTTAATACGAGACATAATAAAAGAACTTTTGTCAGGCAAAAATGCAAGAACAGACCATACAATACAACAACGTCAACTAGATGAAGATCCCGCCACATTGAATTTTTTCTCGTTTAAATGGAGAAGTTCTCAATCTGAACATGAAATGGTGCAGTTTTCTTTACATATGGTAGACCGGGATATACGATGAAACGACTCAAGTTGAACTGTATCTGTGCAACCTCCACGCACGTCCGCGTTTGCTGCTCCTTGTATTGAACGCAGTGGCTAGCCATGATTGCGTTCACAGTAATAGTGTTTGACTCATGGCAACTTGGGGCCACCTCGATGATTTCTACGTTATTAAAACTTTTAAATTTTAATAATAGAGAACGTCGAATTCATTGTAGGTGAAAACTCGCGATACAACGACACTATTACACCATCCTTGATGACTTTTGTTTTGTCCCGTCTTTGTCAAAATGACCAAGAAAAAAGAGCGGAGTGGTTACGAAAACCTTCGGTCGAAAATGGTGTGGGGTGAATCCTAAAATCTCAACAAAGCCGAAACGATTTGTTCCATTTATGAAGCATGTACAGAGCTTCCACACTTGCCCAACCTTTGTCTCAATTAGCTCCTGTTAAAACTCTCTCTGGGTTTTCAAGGGTGGGGCTTGGCCGATAGAT